TCACACCTGAAGAGAGATAACTTAAATCCAAGAAGGGACGATGGTTGCGAGATGAAATAGATGAGGGACAGCGACGCCGAAACTATGGGTAACTTAAACCATGAGAGAAAAATGGAGGAAGACGAGGGGCATGAAAATAATCAAACGAGAAAGTTTCAATATCTTACCGTTCACCACTGAAGTTCTCCTTACATGCACATTCCACGTAACCAACAGGATTCTTCTTACAAACACCGTCATTGAGGCAGTAATTCGTGCAAGCATCTTAAATAGAGGCTCAAATATTCGACACAAAGAGACTACGGAAAAATGCACATGAAATAATATATTAGACATTTTGAAAAGTTACACCTAAACACTCAGTGCTTAAGGCGCAGGCAGGAAAAAGCCATCAAGGTTAACAAATTAGAGCAAGAGTAGTTGTCAACATTCATAATCTCACTGCCTTTAACAACGGAGGTGAATCGAAAAGTTGCATTACTTGAGCGGTAATTAAGGCGGCGCTATTGTGCGTTTCACTCACATAGGGCGCAATCCCGTAGCTAGAAGTTTGAAAGTGGTTATGGGCTCCAGTCAAGGAAATGGATTGTAGTGACAACAATGGATTTCCCTTCTGCCAATATTTCAGGCAACAAAGTAGACCTAGCTTAACCGTAGGCCTAATCCCAATTCATGAAACTCTTTACTTGAATCTTCACCATTAGTCAACTGCAGCTTAGAAGACAATCATCGAGAAAATTTGACGTTACTCACCTTGACAATAGGTGCCATTACCACGGTATCCTGGCTTGCATTTACATTGGAAGGACGGCACATCGTTGTCGTCTGGGAGATCTATACAATGAGCATGCCATGAGCAGTTATCCTCACCAGTAGCGCATTGGTTTGTTGAATAACACTGCGATTCCGCTGTCGCACCTGAACTCATGAGTGAAAGTAATCGCCCTTGTAATAATTCGGTACAAACACAAACTCAAGTTTCTTGGACAAAACAAAAAGCATCCATTGAGTAGATAAACCAACATTAAGTGACAACCAAACACTATCAAGTTGTCCGGGCCCATGAAAGAGCGGGCCTATGAAAGAGCAAGGAATATGAAAGATAAGTTGAACTAGGTTAGTGTTAAAGGTTCCACCCATACACTTCTATCTAGCTGAGAATTTTTGAAGCATACGAACCCGCAGAGAAAACTTACAGCAAATATTTGGAATCAACTAAATCTCTAGTAATACAGTATCCCTCACGACCTCTTCAAGTACAACTTCTTCGAAAACCAAAAACAGCAGAGCATTCCATAGTCAACAATGTTACCTTGAGCTGCTGTGGTGTGATCAGTTGGGCACATTTTGCAAGTGGTATGTTGCTCTTCGTCTTGGAATGTGCCTCGTGGGCAGTATTGGCAATGCTTTCTAGAAATTTTTAAATTATCGACAAACATGAGACAAATGCATCCAGAAAACGTGCTCCTTTCACTCACGTTTCTTTCACCAAAAACTGTCCGGCTTTACATAACGGTGTATTGCATTGTTCACGTCGAGTTGCCCCAACAGATTCGGTGGTAGTACCTGATAGATAACCGCAGTAAGACATAACTCGCCGTGACTTTGCGATGTCCTTTAGAATCCATCAAATAGAGCAAAACACTAGTAACATACC